ACTCTAGCCACCTGAACTAGAAATACTAGAAATTGGTGAATTAAGCAATGACAAATTCCGTGGCATATTCAAACTAAACTATGCTGGTGATGCTTATATTGAGATACAAACAAAAGTTCAGGTATATATATACATGTATACTTTCTCTCTCCCTTTTTTAAATTAATGCATACAATGCTAGGCTAATCCTATGCATAACAAACCGACACAACTTCCTCGCTACTGTCGTCCCGGTATCCTGGCAGCAGATAAACCACTGGTCGTACCCATGGTGCTACGTATCAGTCAATTGAAACTGAGAGGCATTATTGTCTTGGTTGTCCACAAAACCAAAGGTATCACTCTTGTGTTCAAAAACGATCCTCTGGAGAGCGTAGATGTGAGCTCGACATTTGATAACATCCCCATGTTGCGTGGTTACCTTCAGCGTGAGATTGAAAAGCAATTGAGAAACATGCTACAAGATGAACTGCCAATGATGGTGCACAACCTTAGTTTACGTTATTTACAAAAAGAAGAACAAAAGCGACCGACTACTGCCATGTCAATGTATTCGTCAAGCTGCAATAGCCTTCCAGATCTTGAATACCCACCATCACCTTCAGTCAGTAGCGTAGATACGCCTTTGTCTGTTGATTCTTATGATTGCTGCTGGCCAGAAAACATGAAATTCAACCTAACGACGTCGCATCCATTCAGCTGTCATTATTTGGATACACAATCTGACATCCTATCTAGTGCAACCACACTTGTCGACATATATGCAGACGATGCCGATGCGCCGTGGTATGCAAAGGAAGCATTGGTCAGTCCAATCTACAATAACAATGACGAAGCATCGCCTGTAGTGTTTGATGACTTGATCCTGAGACCGAATGAAAATCAGATGGTCTCTAAGTTATTTAAACTTGCCTCAGTCCATTATACCTTATCTCCTTTAACTGAAGTGATTCCCCATTTTACCTACCGAAGCTTACCTTATGCTATAAAAAGCTATAGTCATGTAAAGACAAACAAGGTCCCAAAAAGACGCATCATCAAGTTGAACCTTTCGGCTCCTCTTATTTAAATATTCCCCTATTTTTTTTATTTATATCTCTTCACTTGTATATTTCTCTCTCTCTTTTTCTCTTTGTATAGAACTAAAAATTAAAAAAAAAAGGAGATTCTTGTTTATTACATACAATCTTTTATTTTACAAGCCTTTAAAAGTATGTACAATACCATTTACTGAATTTACATCATCATTATTATCTTCTCCGTCCGCCAAAGCGCCATCTTCATCCAAGTAAAATGAACCGCGTGGAGAATTAGGAGTTGTAGGTAAATGTCCGTAACCAAGCAACCACCAGAGAATAGCTTCATAACAAAATACATATTGTCTCTGGGTCTGTACTACACTCATTCTCTGTTCCCTAAACCGACTGACAGCCTCCTGTACTTTATCAGTCATCGTGTTCGTATAGACATCCCTCTCATGCCATAGTCGTTGAATGATCGTATCCACGACACAAAAGGTGCCAGTTCGACCACATCCTGCTGAACAATGCACGGTCATAGGGCCCTTTTCTTGATGCTCTATCTTGTATGCCTCATCAGCAGTGTGAATCAATTGTAGTAGACCAATGGGGTGATCTGGGACACCAAAGTCTGACCATCCAGTGTACTGTAAGTGGGTAACAGTACGATCTTGGAGCAAGGAGGATCGATGTTTGAGATGAAATTTACGAATGATAATAAGATCTTCTTCACTCCGTTCTCGTTTATCATTCATATTCATAACTGGCTGTGCCTGTTCAGATATCATCGTGACAGTGATCGATCCATAATTTTGTGATGCACCCACAGTTGACGGCCAATACCGATGACATTTGATCTAACACGAAAAAAGGGTCAATGAAACTAGGGATAATGAGCAATATATCCATTTTTTTTTTTTTTACTTTGTTTAATTCTTCCTCATTGGTAAGCATAACAATGACATATGAGCTTTCATCCCAAATCATTTTCCAAAAGTCATCAAATGTGGTAGGCAATGGTCCTTGAGTAGCAATGTATTTCCTGTTCTTGTCCAGCACGTCTGGGTTTCGCATTGTCTCTAATGCATCCTGACTAATGATTCCAGACTGAATAAGATCCTGATCCATCCTAGACAGTGGTGTCACAGAACGTAACAATGCATCATTCTTTCTGACTGCATATTGTATATAGCTCGCATTAATATAGTCATCTTTCTTATCGAGCAGCTTTACCCTAGAATATTCTAATGAAATGTGAATTCCTTTTGTTTATACATTACGTATGTATTTTATAATTCAAAACAATACTTTACCATAAGGCCAAATGTTATTGTATCGGTTCAATGTTCCCTTTTCGATAGCTGAGGCAATGCTCAGCGGGAACTCAGTTGATTTGTGAGATGAATGATACTCCAAGACAAAGGAAAGTCGCTTCTGCTCAGTACGTTCTAATTGCTTTTGTAATGATGTCATATTAGTGTTTCGCAACCCAAGACTATGTTTTGTATACCTCGTACGCTTCTGCTAGCCTTTTAGGTCCATTATCTTTATCCATAATTCTCTTTAGCCATATGGGTAACTCAAAGTTTCCTTGTGTGTCCACTGAGCTTCCACCTAACCCATATCTAGGATGATGTGTGGGTGAAGCAGATAGATGGATAACTCCATGATCAAGTCTTTTGCCATAAGGGATACGGATAGTAAAGCGCTCTTGAATTTGACCCTGCGGTAGCTCAATGTTTTGACGTATGTTGACAAAAAAGGGTGTCTCGACTGTTGGCTTATTATTATTATTAGCTGCCTGGTTTTGTTTGCATTGATCTGGATAAAGTCTTTGAAATTGACTGAATCCGTCTTTTATATATATATAAAATAATCATAAGACATATGAAGCCATTACAAACACAGTTGTATACCTTTCAAATAGTTTAATTGGCCTTGATAGTTTGCATTTTTGAACTTTAGAGCCAAGAGGATAGCAGTGGCCGAGTTACCAGAATCAGTAGTTGAAACAGAGGCATGATCATAAAAGATGATATGTGATGTCGATGGCCATTGTCTGAAATGATCCGCGTCGCTATTACTGGCCAAAGACTGTGCCACTTTATCAAGTGTGTAAGATGCACGCTTTAGTAGGATGGAAGGCATTGTCAGATTGATGGCTGATTTGATGTGATGTGCTGAGAAATGCGTGATCGCGCGGACATCGATAATTAATGGGATGGCTGTGTTCAACAAGCGGTTGAGTTCATGGCTGCTGATAGGCTTCAATACATCTTTATGTTGTTGATGATGAGGTCCAGTGGTTGGATTCATATGATATCTCTTTGCGTATAATACATTCATGAATTCCTGCGGTGGACAATGTTTGTGTGATATCGAATCGTTGTCACTGTTGGTTGAGCAAGAGATGATCAATTCATTTTCACTGCTCCAATGCTGAGTAGGTGATTGACAGGTTAAGCTCATGATTTAGTCAAATAATAATAAAGAAAAAAGGCATAAAAAAAGGGAAGGGAAGCAATGGCCCTTTTCCTTATTATATAATGCCTTCATAAAGTGAGCATAGCGTCACATTTTCCTTTTTGAGTAAATTACTTTTTTAGTACAGAATTTTTCAAGCAGTTTGATCGGGATTCATCTTTGAAAGCTTTATTTGGAATCGTTTTTTTAAAAAAAAGACTTTATTTTGTGGACTGTTTACAAAGGGTGAACGAAGAGGGATGAGTTGCTATAGTGGCTCTACTCGGTTTATAAGTGCGCGTCTCCTTTTGTTCATTGTTCAACAGACAGCGAAATAAGCTTTTTCAGTTCATTACACAACGGACTTTACATCAAAGACTGAGTCTGACCATTTGCTCATAGATTGACTTGTGACACATGTATACTACTCTAGTCTATTAGGACTGGCTGATAAAAAGTTTCACGATCGATTCGAATGTCGGAAAGATTGTTTAAAACTGAATCAATAGTAGCAAAGATCCCTTATTTGTTATGTGAAAGAGAGATCGCGCATGATGAATGGATTTAGCTTAAAGGCCGTGTATAGTATGAATTCCAAGAAGAGAGAGAGAGGGGCCAGAACAGTTCTTTCAAGTTTTTAGTCTAGTAAATAAGCTTTTTACGCGATACCATAATGGGGGAGAGCTTAAAGGTCATGAGGACTCCCCCTTTTTTATTTTGTTTGTATTCATTGATTGTTACTATATGACATTTTGTTTGTTGGACAAAAAAAGCTATAGCCATTCAGCAAAAATATCAACGCCTTTCAAAAGATCTCAGTTTCAATGAGAAACAAGAGATCGGTATGTTATATGACCTCATTGAACACATGATGGCTATAAAAAATGCACTCTTGCTGTCAATTCAATAGTATATACAAATAGACTAAGGCAAATAAAGTTCAAATAGACTATTGGTGATCATTTGCTTCCGTGAGGTATTCTCGATATGAACTGCTAGAAATTTTCCATGTTGTCATCGAGATACGCTTATCACGATCTTGGCCTTCTGATAGGTGATATAGGACTTGACCATTACCCTTCACAGTATACTCGAAGTTGAGAACAATTACGAAGATATATCGATGGCATGCTGTTGGTTGCACGTTGTTTAACTGACAATTTTTTTCTACTCCTTTGTAATTTCATTTGCTTTAAAATAGTAACTGTAATCAATAGATTTATGTCGTTATAGTAACATTGGTAATATTATACATGTTGGTAAGATTTAGTGATCGTATATGACTTCAAAGAAAATATAAGAAAATGTGCATACTGCTTATAAGCTATTAGATTATGTGAAATGGTGACTTTATTCGAGTATTCAAAGAATAATTCAAAGTATCAACGAAGTCGCTTGAATTGCTCACGGTTATGATGAAAGAAGTCCTTTAGACTTGTCGGACTACGTCCAATGGCATCTTCCAGATCCTGACTAATAACATCTGTGTGCTTAGCTTCAGATAATTCCCAATAATCAAGTATGGTGTTGATGTTGGTTTCGTTCAGATACCGTCCCAGAGGAAACATACCATGACTTTCGGACGGTCTTTCTCTAAAGCGGTTATCATCACGTAAATCTTTCAAATAGCCACGCATACTCGAACGACTCGACTTTTCAAACGTCATGTCACGATCAAGCGCTTTGTTGGCGGCACTTACTACGTCCTTGACATCGTAGTTATGTTGCGATGGTGTAAAGTTAAACAACGTCTTGTTCTTTTTGCCCTTGACGACGTTTGAGAGTTGAACTATGGCATCCAAAGCGTCTTCCATGTCAATGGCACACCATTGGGCATGTTCAGAAACAGGTAAACGGATCTTGTTTTCATCTTCCATTAATGGACCCATGTAGAAAAAGAACTGATGGAACAAAGGCAGACGCATGATGCAGTAATTGTCCTTGCTAAAGTACTTTGGAATAAGATCTTCGAGATACCGATAGTCCTTGAGCTCTTCCAGACGATTATCTTCTTTTTTTACAGCATCAACACCAATACTAAAGAATAAAGGGTCATTTTGTTATATCCCTTTCTTTCATGTTCTAAGATTTACACTGAGAATAAGGTCATGTAATCAACATGCTCCTTTTGAGCACATCTCATAACCGACTCAGCTTCTTCTCTACGTGGCTTGGAGAATTCGGGTACGAGCATAACATAGCACGTATCTCTCAGCAAACGACAGACTTCAATTTCGTTCATATAGTCCACCTCAACCACATCAGCTCCGAGTAGTGCAAGTTCATCTAAGCCTTGACGTTCACAACAGAGAATACGATACTTGTACTCCTTATCTTCAGTTAAAAACTTATATGCAGTAGCAAATCCAAGTAAGCTATCTCCGTTAGTAATAACTCGAGTCTTCATGATACTGTGTGGAACTCTGATAAAGACATTCTCCCTTTTTATAAGCTCTCTCAATCTCAGCCATTTTCTTTTTTTTTTGCTTTTTTTTCCTGCCGAGTCAACAACTTGATAATAACTCGCCATGTCCTTGCTATCCAAAGTAACTCGTTGTATGAGAGCAATTGCTCCTTTAGAACTTGCTGAAACCTCGTGGGACAACGTAGGTGTTTTAGTAGGTAATGACTTGATTTCGACATGACCTTTTTTGCTTCGTCTAACATTCATGCCATAGAACCTCCTTTTCCTTCACCAAAGCAAAACAAGGTTCTTTTGACTATTGACTTGACTCCACAAGTACTTGAAGAAGCACTTGCTGATCCCAAAGTAAATGCAAAATAAGTGACGCGCATATTTGTATAAAACTCAACATGTTTTAGTTTGGCACTATTGTATCATATCATCCTCCTATCTTTAGAGGCTTCAAGAGATTAACTTCAGAGGATCCTCAACAAGCTATGATCTTGAAAGCCATTGCTTCTGGTGTCGGTATCTATTCTCCTCATACAGCTTGTGACAATTGCATCAACGGAGGTAACGCGGAACAACATCCTTATTTCATATGAAAGTAACTTTTTGCCAAGTCAACGACTGGCTAGCAAGTGGATTAGGAAAAGGTCGTGTTGAACCCATTACACCAGCTGATAATCCACCTGAGGGACAAGAAGGATCTGGTTCTGGTCGACTTTTCACTTTTAGCGAGCCTACTTCATTGTCCGAAATTGTTGATCGCGTCAAGAAGCTGATTGGATTGCCCTATGGTAATGAACAAGGTTATGTGTGATATTAGCTAAATGCATACATAGTTAGATTAGCTACGATGGATAAGAACAAGCTGATCGAGACAGTAGCCATCTGTGCTGGATCAGGCTCTTCTGTTTTGAATTCAGTTAAAGCCGACCTTTATTTCACAGGTGAAATGGGACATCATGATGTATTGGCTGCTTTATATAGAAATACAAGTGTTATTTTATGTAAGAAAACAAGCTTACATCAACTTAATATCTAATATAATATAGGTGAACATACCAATACAGAAAGAGGATATCTCTCTGCTGTCTTAAAGCCTGCTTTAGAAAAGCAATTGGTCAATGAAACATCAGAGTCTGGTGAACCCATTGAAGTTGTCGTGTCTCAAGCTGATAAGGACCCACTTCAAGTTGTATGATAATAATAAAGTTCAACTGTACACAAGATGGTTTCTATTTGTTTATTTACTTATTTATACTTGGTGCTGATGATCTTTGCAATGGTTTGAAGTTGAATGTTGTTGGTTCCTTCATAGATAGAACCAATCTTGGCATCACGATAGAACTTTTCAACACCAGTTTCACGGACGAAACCATTACCTCCCATCCATTCAACAGCATAAGAGGAAGCCTTTTCAGCAACCTTGGCAGCCTTCCACTTGGCCATGGCAGCTTCCATGACAAATGGTTTACCTTCTTCCTTTAATCTAGCAGCGTTGTATGTCAGCAGCTTGGCGGCTTCGATTTCAACAGCGACTTCAGCAAATTGGTGTTGCATAGCTTGGAAGGTACCGATGGGTTGACCAAATTGCTTACGTTCCATCATGTAGGGTAAAGCGATATCGTAAGCTCCTTGGGCACAACCAATCATTTGAGCAGCAATACCGATACGACCTTCGTTCAAAGAATCGATGGCGTATTTGTAACCATCACCGACCTTACCGAGCACGTTTTCCTTGGGAATCTTGACATCGTCAAAATTCAAGACGCATGTAGAAGAAGAGCGGATACCCAACTTTTTTTGAAGATGATATTAGCTATTGTTCACACTCCTTTTCTCATTGCTTTACCTTCTTTTCCTTCTTTGCAATTTCGACACCCCATTCCTTTTCGACGATGAACGCAGTGATACCCTTGTATCCCTTGGAAGGGTCGCTTTTTTAAAAAATAAAGTTTAGTAAACTTGTTGCATATAGTTCAAATACTTACACATTGGCAAAGATAACGAAAATACCAGCTTCTGCAGAGTTACTGATCCACATCTTTCCACCATTCAATACATAGTGGTCGCCTTTATCTTCAGCACGAGTTTGAAGAGCAAATGCATCTGATCCAGCACCTGCTTCTGAAATACAGAAACTACCCACGGTGTCAGTGGCAAGACGTGTGAGGTATTTTTCCTTGAGTTCCTTAGAAGCCCATTTACGGATAACAGTGTTGGTTAAAGTATTCTACGTGAAAAAAGTTAGTTTGATTAATTAACTATAAATGTATTATTTATCTTTACGTGAATGTCACACAGTGCACTAATGGAAGGGTCAACCTTGGCAAGTTCTAAAGACAAAAGAAATAAGGGGGCTATGTACACACATGAAAAGTTATCACATACCTTCAACTGCTAAAATGGCAGCAGTAAAAGAACATTCAGCACCTCCATATTCACTTTCTGTTTCAAGACCCATCAACTAGAGTTCACATGTTAGTATTATTTTAATAGACGTGTTTTTTTTTGTTTTTTGTTTTTTTTTTTACTTACGCCGTTATCAAACATGGCTTGAATGATGTCTTTATTCATCACCTCAGCTTCATCCATTTCCTGTACTTTAGGTTGAACAACTTCACGAGCAAATCTGGAAACTATTTGGATAAAGATTAGAGAAATAATAATAAAAGAGCACATATTCTCATTTACCTGTATCCTTCAACATGAGTTCTTCTTCAGTGAAGGATTGCAAAGAGGTAGGAGCCTCATGAATAGAAGGAGAAGAGAATGTCAAAGCAGCATAATTGCTACGAAAAAAAAATATGAATAAGTAGGGGCGTTTAAAACAGAAATCATATTATAGGTTACCGCTTCAAGGCCTGACGTGCGACAGGTTGAGTACGGGCAGCAAGTTGAGGAAGACGCTGAGCAAGCTTAAACATGATAGATGAAAGAAAGGGTGTTTATTTATTTGGTTTAAAGGATAAGTCCTTTTTATATGTAACTTATTTACTGCTTTCCCACGGTTACATTATGTACAATGTGCACCATCAAATTTTAAAAAGATTCCCACCCTTCTCACACACGTCACGTAAGGAGAATCTTGACATTAGACGAGCGCTTTTTTGTCCTTTCATAACGTTCGACAAAGTCTTCATACGATAAAAGCTTGACATTCTTATGGGACATGAGCAAGTACATTTCTTTGACAAGTTCAAAATTGATTGGAAACATGATATCGTACCAGCCAGGAGGTAGTCTGAACGTTTTACACCGCACCATTCGGTCTTTGTAACAAGTCTGTACCATGGGCGCATTGATACCTTCGATGGTATAAGGCAAGTGAGAGTAGTCTGTAAGGATGAGTCGATGTCCAGGAAAGTATGTCCTCAAGATATCTAGCAGTTGAAATAGTCTGGTAGGTATAAATTCATATGAATTAGCTAGAGACAGCCGAAACTGGCGCCAGGCCCGATCTGAACTAGGTGTCTTCAATTTCTTTCTAAACGTCAGGTATCGGTTGATCAATGGATCGTTGCCGACGGGTTCAAACAATTGATGATGATGACCCTGACTGTCGATACAGACAAGGCCCTGATACTGCGTGTTGTCTCTGGATTGAATCATGTCATGCCCAAGCCGTGTCTATGTTGCACATACAATATCAATTATTTAAGCGCAAATGTGTCCTTTTTTGTGTGTCCGTTAGTTACCATCACTTCTAAGCCTAATACAAAGCACTGCTCAGTCACTACCCTATTCCAATCAAAGATGCTTTGGTCAAACCGTGCGATGGGGCAGTCATGCTGGGGCAAGGGCTCGCGAGCGGTAGACATAAACGTGGGTTCGATCAGGTTATATTGAGTTCTTTGATAGACAGAGGGTTCATATTGTCGTATGTAATCAAGGATATAAGGCATCAGTCGTCCATTGCCTCCGTTCATTTCATAAATGACGAGATCTCTATGTGGATATAGAGTCAATTTGTACTCTGTTACCATATACTTTGCAACTGCACGTCCAAACCAAGGCTAATATATACAAGTTTGTCTTTGTGTGTATATATAAAAAATAAGATGCTTACTTGAAATAGTTCAGTGTGAGAATGCCCATAATGAGGATGAGCTGCTCCATGCGTTCGAGCAAAACTACTCATCGAATCGACATAATCTTCATCCTTTTTGTATTCTTTTGAACTGGTCACCCAAGCTGGTTTCTTTGAGAAAAAGCCATATTGTGGGTTGTAAAGTGAGTCATCAATAAAGTCTCTGACGAGCATCTTTGTACGCACAGGAGGCAGTATGTGAGATTTAGTGTCTTGGCTGGTCTTTAGACTATATGATTCATATTCTTCTACAGTATTTTTCTTGTGTATAAAGAATGGAGTAAAGAAACCGTAATATCGTTTTATTTGCCTAAATGGTTGGCTGCTGTGGTATAAGATTGTTCTACTGTACATATGGTATCAACTGAATACAGGCGTTCTATTTCTCACTTTCTCTTGAAGAAAAAAAAAGTCGGACTTTACAATTGAGTTGATTACTATTTTTTGAAGTCAAATGAGATCAACAGCATCAGTCAGTTGAGTGAAAGAAAGGCAGAAAATGTGACTTATTTTACAATTTGATAATAGTTTAAAATTAAAATTAAGCTAAACACAAGAGAAGATAGAAAAGAGCATGAAAAAGAAACAGAAAGCGACAAACTAGAGTTTCTTGAAGTTTTTGGCTGATTGAATGACCGAGGCCATCCAATTAAAAAGAGAAGGTAAGCCAGTGACAAAGTCCTTCACTCTGGAAGCAGTGATGGGGCATTTTACCACACAATTGGTCTTTTTGGCAATAACTCCATTGATGCTTACAGTTGATTCAAAAAAAAAAAATGGTCAGATCTAAATATTAAAATATGTAGGTTATGTAAGTTATAACCTTGTAAATTTTTTCCATTTAATACATATACTTACTAACCAATCTGACCACAAAAAGAACGCTTTCTTGGCTGCAAAAGTCAATAGAGCTAGTCACTTGAGCGATGTTGCTGTAAAACTTCTGAGTGTCCTTTTCTTCTTTTGCCTGGCTTGCGTTGTGGTTTGCGCCACCAGAGAACTCTATCAACACCGGAACAATCTTATGGTTCTCAACACAAAAGGCTACACAATCTTAGATGATCTTTTGGGTGGATTAACTTCTTCGTCCGATCCTTGTTTGAATATAAATCACTCTATTTACATACATATATATAAAGTGTGGACTTTATTTAGCAATTTTTTTAAAATTGATTATGTGTCTATAGAGGAAGATAACTTCTGTTCAAAAGGTAATGTCGACAAGAATCTGCTATGTTTCAATTTGAAACTGTTGACGACTACAATTGTACACCACAGAGTGCCATCGAATATGCAACGCCAGTGGTATTTCCAGATTGTTGCAATAGTCGCACCAAAGAAACAAAGAATGTCCGTATCGACTATGGTTTGTTCGTCTACCAGGACAAAAGAAGTGAGCACAGACCATATTTCATCTGCAACAAGGAACTTGTCCCGCAGAGAATATCCCTCGAAAATGAAGAACCAGAAGTTGAGTTTGAGAAGGCAGCCCACAAAGAGGCGGTGGTGTGTTTCAACGTCTTGTTGGCAGAGTCTGCACATTGGAGAGACGGTCACGCTGGGATTCCAGGCATGATGTAAAGCAGCCGTAGGAATATAGCCATGTAACAGGCGAAACCATGGTGTGAAGACCTTTGGAGGCATAGTCCGGGACCAAAAAGTTTGCCAGTACTGAGGTCGAAGAAGCAGCAAACGAAGCAGAGCCAAAGGCGGATGACATGGTTGTGTTAGCAAATCGAAGTCTTTGTGCCATAAGAAACGGAGCTGACCAGGAGATACCTTGACAATTGGAACAGGTGCCGTATTGGATTTCCGTGTAGGGTTTGGGATTGCCCAATGAGCATATGAGGGTATCCAAGAGGGGATGCTGTTAAATACATCAGGCGCTGACACCTGTGATCCCAAGGTGGATAGATCGTCGCGAGGCCCAAAGATAATGCGGCTAATCGCTGGTATCAACTGCAGAGTAGTTGGAGCGGTTCGTCAATTTGGAAAAATAGACTTCCTGAGCGCATGGAGGGCAGAGGATATGAGTGCACGGAATGAAAATATGGGCCAAGAGATTATAAGAAACCTCTCAGGTATGCTTGCCCAGTTCAATCCCTTCGCACGCATTTATCGTCATGCGTATGAGATATCAAGCAACCATGAGAGCTCCAGCATTAATAGCAAGGATATATCTAACAACAATGGCTCTACCGAAAGCGAATCACCATATATTGTAATAAATCCATAGATGACAATGCATTTGATTGAAGGAGATGATAGACGCAATCACAATTTGCCAATTCTGGAATACCATTCTATGAGAAAAATCGACGTATGGCTGCTTATTTCAGTGTACTTTGTCGGAATATGAACTGTATTCTGGAATAGCCTCGATTTTGGAATGCTACTCCTACCTACCGAGGGTTATGACAGAAGCGAGACCCTACTGTAATTATGTTTATTTTTCTTCTTTCCTCTTTGCTTTCCTGTGCTCTGTGTACTCACCGTTTACATCCTACAGTAATCTAACCATACCACTCCGCGATGTATGGCCCAAGGAAAGCAGTAAAAAAGAAACGAGTATCGGAGAAAGAATCTTTTTTGCCAGCCAATGAATTTGGTTTGCAAAGAAAGTAGCTTATGTTGTGTTTTTGTGTGAAAATTATACCACTTTGATCATCTTGTAAAAAATACCCTTTTCTTTCCACTTTTTAATAAAACAAAATGGTAAGCATATAAAAAGTATATACGCGACAATGATTTGTAGTAATAAATTTATACATGACTTTAGTCCATTCACATAGGCGATATTGTAAGTATCTCGTAGTATTCTCTTTTTATCTTTGCTTATGCTTTTTGAAAAGATCCCTGATGCTACTCTTCATTATGTGCCTTATAACCCAAATGAAGACATCACAGCATGTCCTAGGTAATTATATCATATTTGTTTTGGCCTTGATACTCACTTGTCATTAGACCTGTCCCTTTCAAGATCCATGAGCAATTAAAGGGCAAAAAAGCTGTCATTTTTGCTATTCCAGGTACACCATTAGTACCTACTATTCCTTATTGATATCAACATGTGTCATCTAGGCCCATTTACACCCACTTGCTCCGAGACTCATGTTCCTGGCTTTTTAAATGCTTATGAAGCACTTAAAGCTAAAGGTGTTAATGAAGTTATTTGCATCTCTGTCTCGGACGGATTTGTCATGAACGCATTCGCCAAGGCTTATAAGGCCGGTGATAAAATCATCATGGCCGGTGATGGTAGTGCTGAATTCTCCAAGGCCTTAGGCCTCACTCAAGATTTGACCAAGGCAGGTATGGGCATCCGATCCAAACGTTTTGCTATTATTATAGATGATTTGGTCATAAAGTATGTTGGTGTTGAAGATGCCCCTGGTGTCAAGGCTTCTGGAGCTGAAGCAGTTTTGGCAAAGTTATAATCATTGGTTAATAAATCATTCATGCGTATCTATTTCATTATGTTTTAGTAATGCTTTTTTATTAAAAAGGATTAGCAAGAGCGAGATAAAAAGAATAACAATGTCACCAATAATGTCCAAGCATCTGTAGCCACTTTTAGTTACCAAAGCTGTTACTGCCACTCTTTTTTGTTGCCAATATTATATGAAAGTATGATCTATCAAACATGAAATGAAATAAGAAGGAGTTTCCATGGCAACCCTAATAACATTAAAAGTAAAACAATTGTTGCTTATAAAATTGAGTTTTTTCTAAAAATAAGTACGCATTATACATAAAAAGGCTGAGCAGTGTGTAACTTTGATTTTATATTTATTTGTTTCTGCTCTTTTCTCTTTTTCTACTTTTTCTCTTTTATCAATACAACAATAGAATGTCCCTCGTTACAGCGCATAATACAGAAAATGACGAGATATACAAACTCGAGCCTCATAATGAGATATACCCTACTTCGCTGTCAGCACCTTTACCTGAGGGCAACAAACGTACGGCCTATACTGTGGATATACCAATTCCTACTCCACCCGACTCAATACAAGACGAATCATTACAAGACGTTCTTCTCAAGAGGCACTCTACTATTTCATCCAGTCATGATGAACCCATCTTATCACACAGTCCTAGCTTGAACTCACTCACCAGGCATCACACGACTGGTCATACGCTAAAAAAATCTGCTCGGCAAATGATGGCTGATAAAGAGAGAATGAATTTAATAAAACGGTCGGAAGAGTTTCAAAAGGAATTGAATGCAAGAAGGAAAGCATTTAGACGGTTATCCCGAATGCCTCAGCGGCAAGATGATGAAGATAAAGTGCTGATGGGAACACGCATATCAGAGGGGCACCGTAACTATGTCTTGATGTATAATATGTTAACCGGCATCCGTATTGCCGTCAGCCGAGTGACGGCCAAGATAGATAGAGAACTAACGGATCAAGACTTTACTGCAGCCCATAAACTAGCCTTTGACGTCATTGGTGATGAATTGACTCCAGGTGCAAAATACGACTTCAAATTCAAAGACTATGCTCCTTGGGTGTTTCGTCACTTAAGAGAAAAGTTTGGAGTTGATCCTGCGGATTATTTGGTAACTTTTTATAAAATCATCATTGCTTGTATGGCGTTCTAATATAAAAATAGATTTCATTAACGAGTAAATATATCCTGAGTGAACTTGGATCACCTGGTAAAAGTGGAAGTTTCTTTTATTACTCAAAGGATTATCGTTTTATTATCAAGACGATTCATTATACTGAACATAAATTTATGAGAAGCATACTAAAGGAATATTATCATGTAAGCAATATTTAAGTAAGCATTTCAAGACGACTAAACTATGTTTAAAAAGCATATCTGTGATAATCCAAGTACTCTCCTGTGTCGACACTATGGCTTACATAGAATTAAACTTCCTCATGGAAGAAAGATTCATTTTGTTGTCATGAGCAACGTCTTTCCTCCAAACAAAGATATTCATGAAACCTACGATTTGAAGGTAAACACGATAATCGACTCTTTATTGTTTACTAATATTTCCTTAGGGTTCCACTCTAGGTCGATTCTTACCAGAAGAAGAAATACGCAAGAACCCTTATGCGGTCATGAAAGACTTGAACTGGGAAAAGAGGGAACGAAAGCTCCAATTGGGTCCACAAAAGAGAAAACTGTTCATCAGTCAACTCGTTCGAGATGTGACAGTAAGTGACCATACCAAATAAATACAAGTGTATTAATCATACGATAGTTACTGTCTCAACTCAATATCATGGACTATAGCTTATTAGTGGGTATCCATGATATGCTCAGAGGTAACAAGGACAACATCCGTGATGCAACCCTACAGACCTTCCAGCCTCATACAAAATCCATCCAACGAAGGATCACTCAGATGAGACGTAGAACGAGTAAAGCACAGGTGGTTCGTAGGGCTATTGCTGAAGCCAATCCAAATAAACTAGACGCTTCACAATTACCAGAAGAGGCTCAAGAGTAAGTATGCCTTGACAACATTTTGAGTATATATTAACTATTTTATACAGACGTCGTAACTGTGTATTTTACTCTGATGAAGGCTGTCTCCAAGCAACAAATGAACAAGATCAGCCCTTACCTGTTCTGTACTCCCTTGGTATTATTGATATCCTGACACCATATGATCTCAAGAAAAAATCAGAGCATGTTTACAAATCCATGACGGTCCAGGACAAGACCGCTATCTCCGCCGTCAGGCCTACTCAATATGGCCAACGTTTTCTAGAATTTATGGCCCGTGCTGTGCTGGAACATAACGAAGATATACCACATGAATATAAACTGAAATCAAGGTCAAGGCATTTTTTTAGATAAAAAAGGCATTGTATATTCTTTATAATAAACGAGACTGTAATAGTTTGTGTACAAATTCAAAACGAGTTTTCCATTCTTTATTCGTTCTTTTTCTTATTTGGGAGGGCTAAGGCAAAAAAAGAGTTAGTTTGGTTCATACAATTTACATTAACACTTACTTGTAAACAATCTTTCTAGACTTGATAGGTGCCCACTTGAAGCGCTTCAACCAGACAGACAAGGCAGTCAAACCAGCCAAGATGATGACGGCCTTCATACCCATCTTCTTACGTTCATCGTGTTCTGGCTCAGCAGCCCAAGCGAGGAAAGTACAGACATCCTTGGCCATTTGGGAAGTAGTAGCAGGGGTACCATCTTCATATTCAACGACACCGTCGAAAAGAACACGGGCCATAGCAATAGCTCCACCAGGGAAGTAAGGGTTGTAGTTCAAACCTTCACGAACTTCAATACCTCCAGGAGGATCCATGTAACCTGTAAGAAGGGAGAAGACATAGTCCTATACATACATTACTATCATCCTTCCATATCGTTTCATTATGTCCTTTACCTCACCACCGTGACGAGCCTTGGTGATCAAGGAGAGATCTGGGGGCAAAGCACCAGCATTACCAGCACGGGCAGCTTCATCATTAGGGTAAGGTTTAGGCATGTAATCAGAGAGCTACAAAGTCTAATCAGTTTCTCTTTTTTTCTACATCAAGATGTTTACAATATACCTTGCCTGGTCTAGTAAACATTTCACCGTTTTCATCAGGTCCATCTTGATATTCAAATTCTTCAGCCATAGCCTTTACTTCAGCTTCGGTGTGAGAGACACCAACTAAGTTTCTCCAGGCAATACGGTCAAGAGAGTGACAGGCTGAACAAACTTCTCTGTAAACTTGGTAACCACGACGAATGCTATAATACATTGTGTGAGATAAAGAGTGACACTGTGTGTAATCCAATTCTATATTTACGCAGCGTGATCAAAAGTAGAAAGAGGACCGCTGTGAGGCCAAGGATAGTGAGGAGCATGAAGACCTTCGTCAGCCATGTTGGCAGAAGCGTCGGCGTACATGTAAGCAGAGGCTGTGGCACCAACGATAGCAGCTGTCACAAGTCCAAATTGCATAGGGTTCTATTACAAGGTTATACGTTGTCTTTCTCTATTCTAATAGCACTTACAGAGCTGACAGTAGGCTTTGTAGAAGCGAATCGAGCCTATCATGTATAAAAGTCAATTTCAATCGCTTAAATAATCTGTTGTGTATAGTGATGTTACGTACCTGAATGGTAGGCTTGACGAATGAGCGCACAGAGTGCTTTGCTGATTGTGTTGCGAGCCGAGAAAACATTTTTAAGAATAGAGTAGGGGGGTTATGTTTTTGAAGAAAAAATAACTTTTTTCTTTTCTAAAGGAAAGGCCTAACAGAAGAAAAAAAAATGTTTGGTCATGTCCTGACAGCCCCCCGCCTTCATCCACGCAGATTCGAATAAGCGGAGAACAAATTGCTTAGGTGACGTAAAATAATGGCTTGGGTACCGCCCTTTCTGAAATTTAAAATTTGAGATGGCCGACTTGTATGGCTTCTAAAAGAATAATTGTTTTTTATTTTATACTTTATCTTTGTGTTTGCATATTTATATTTAGTGGAAGCTGCATCTCTTCATTAGCTGACAACGACTGTCTTGACTCATTATATATTTGCAACAGTCTGTTGTTATTTTCAAAAGCTAAATGTATACGACTTTCTAAAGCTTGTCAACAGCTCATCCGTTCTACCTCCAGCTTCAGATGGTACTTCTGATTGAAGCACATTAGAGCTTTCAGTAACTGCTTCGATATGATTATTCTACACAGTATTCTGGATAAATATTATCCATGATATGAATTCTCAAGCTAGAGTCAATTTCTAGATAATGTCATAAGTACACTGTAGCATTTCTCTTATTACTATCGTGACAATCTAACTTGGCTGTAAACTACACAGCTTTTATCGAAACGATAAGCCAAATACATATGCTTACAGACACGCCTATTTCGTTGAAAGCCTATACAGTTACATGCAGTCATTACTACTTGCTCAGTTGATATATCGTATACAACTTCCGTCGTGAAAGACTTGACAATATAACAAACTTCTTCATCGATATACACTTTCTGTACCATACCTTCTAATTACAGTTCATTGATCTCTTCTGCTGCAATCATTCTCTTTCTTGCCCCTCTAGTCTTTGAGCTCATATGTCCGATATTAGCAGACATCCTTGCGGTATTGTGCATAAAATTGGTATGAACATAATCAACCAAGATAAATATTTATCGATCCAGTCTTCTATTTCTCTTCCATTGTAAGTAGTTTATCTTCAATTGGTTGTGCCAACTCTCAATATTGTTGTTCGTTTCCATATTGGTGAAAATTTGTGGCTGGTAGACAGCAGACCAATGCATGAACTTATCATGAATAAGGTACATTTGGGTAAAGCGAGCCATGAAATCCGTCTGCACTGAAAACTCCTGTTGAAAATGTAGCAGTTTCTGGTTGAACATTTGGGTTGAATTTCTAGAAAAAAGATAATTAAACGGAGTACAGTGAAAAATCGTGCTAAATGGTGTGTAAATGATGAGAATCGCATTATTACTCGATCCAGCTCCTGTCCCGATAAAATGTAAATAGGTATACCTGCCAAACTTTGAACGCTTAAAGTTTATGTTCTAACCTAATCACTTACAAAATAAGCTATGTTCCCATTGTATACCCGTTGAGACTCTGTAGACAGTGTTCAGCTGGCAATGCTCATGGTGGAAACTTAGTAAATTACTTTTACTTAGTTACAACTAGCTGAGTACTGATTATTCTATTTAATACTGTCAGCTCCATCCAATGATAGGTCTGGAACCGAGACGTCAATGCAGCATTGAACATTCGATCAATGCCTGCAGATTATGTTAATAATAACTGTGATATTAGATCAAGGAATGCTGCATTTAATAGAGTGCTTTAACCAGCACCATTAAATAGCCAGTTGCTTTGGCTCTTTGCACGTGTAAGTACCTTATTCTATTCTGATTCGAAAAAAGAATACTAGCGTCATCATTATCTTATCCAGTCAAAAATGTCTAGGGTGATTTAAGTGAGTGTTACGGGATTTTCCAAACAAAGCTACATTATTTCCTGCTATTAATCCTGAAATGCAAGAAGTTGTAGCAATTAGTAGACAAGAAAGATCTCCCAACACTGATAAAGCCTACAAACAAAGACAAGATAGATGGCTGGTAAATTTGGAGTAAGATACTTAATGATCCATTGTCTAAATATAATTTAGTAGAAATGGTGCAGTGAAAAGCAATTCGCTGATGGTGCTCTTGTGTCTGAACGAAAGCTTGTTCTATATCTTCGAGAAGAAATACTTCCGAAAGGAAATATGACTGGCAAAAAAGATGCTAATGGCACAGCTGCTTCTATTGGAAAATCTACGATCGACTCGCATATCAAATCAGTTGTTGATTTATACAGGCAACAAAGGGCCTTAAAAATTAATCATGAACATCATCCCCGTGGAGGTGTGTTAAAAGCATTCCTGAAAACACTTAATTATACCCGATTGAAACGCAAGAGAAAAACTCTTGAGGATAGTGTTGCAGATACTCCCAACGAAGATCATCCATCAAATCAACTGGAGGAATCAATACCTCAACTGATAGAAATGGTTAAAAATGGATTTGAACAACTAAGGCAACTGTTTGACCAACACGCAGCGGAAGTCAATTCCAAATTGGATCATATAATGCAGACACTACAGCAGCCTTTACACCTTTCACCATATCGGCATGTAATACCAGAGCAGCAGCAACAACAACAACAGCCATCCACATCAGTCTTACAAGCACAGAACATACCAAGCACGCCTACACGTAGCGGTTCTAATACAACTGCCGAACCAACATACAAGTTATGCAGGCATCTCAAGACAGTGACTGATGTTTGGAGAGAGTACGAACTTGGCTTGCCAGGCCAGCCGGCAGTACAGTCCCTAGAGCAGACCCAAGGAACTTCTTGGCGAAGAAACCGAACAGAGTCAAGGTACTTCAGTAGGAGAAAAATGATTTATGATAAAGTGAAGAAGACTGCTTCTGAATACGACATATCCACCACAGAAGCGGCAGAAATAATTGAAAGAAAACGCGTTGAACTTGGAAAATCTTTAGATGGTTTCTGCAAAGTCATTTCTTCCGAGCTGTAATGTTTTTTGTTATCAAATTCTACATTTTTTCAAATGTCTATTTGAATATCTTATCAAGTGCAGTGAGCTATTCGAGTTTTGTGTAACTTCTTAGATGATTAGCTTAAATTTGAGATGCTACTTTTATCATTAGGCAGGCCTACACCAATATAAAAAAATCATTTTGCTAAAGCTAAGCATTGTATATATTGATTTGTAGTCGCTCTACCCATTACAACCTGAGCATGTTTGACATTATGTTCTCTGTTTCCACTCCAACTTCAAACAAGATGGCAAATGAATTCGACAAACGCATAAATCATACACGACTTGTGCTTATAATTTCAGTCTCAGAAATCGTGACAGCGATATTCGATTGGACAAAAAGGTAGCCGATCATTGAGTTACAGATTTCACGTCTGCTACAGAGATTCAATTCACATTTCTTGATATTGATAATGAAAATGAGAATTACAATCACAGTGCTTCCAAAAGACTTTGTGTTGGATCTAGTGTACTTTTGTTATGACGAAGCTCTGTCTGCTCGTACTCTTGGCACTGTCTCCCGCTTCTTAGACAACCGTAAATCTATTGCTGTGGATGATTATGAGTTTAAGACTGAGCGCAATTTTGAAGAAGAATTGTCAGCCTACAGTCAATTCCTATCCATTCAGTCTTGCTTCAAGGATTTCAGTATTGCATGTAAGTACTAAGAGGATATTTTTATGGCGAAGCTCTGCTTCTTTTTTTAAACATATGGAACCGTGCTTCAGATTTATGAAAGTGATGATATGATCAGGCATAAACTGTTTTTGAGTTTTTAAATTTTATGATGCTTTGGGAAGTTAAAGTAGTAAATAATCGAAAGAAGGAAAGGATGTGGTTATAAACTAATATGTAAAAAGAACAAGTATGTCTTGGGAATATTAATTAAGTGAGAAGAATGGAAGAACTCGATGGACTTGTCCTTGATTGACGCAGTTTTCTTGAGTAGAAATTGAAATCAACCTATTTGATGTGCCTGATATGAATCATTATAATATTCTATATATGACAGTAGAGCATACATTTTACATTCATCTACCGCATCTGATAAGAGTAACTTATAATAACAGTAGCAATAGTAATTACTAGTATAATAATGACAAAATAATCACATTGACCACGTCAAATCATGCTGACAACATTCAATCTTCCTTATAAAACTCAAACGCGTCTTTAATAATACTCTTTTCTTTTCAATAAACAATGTAATTCGCAAGCTGTCGACTTAATACGTGAATGAACTGCAAAAAGCAGCTACTCATGCTTTCTTATATAATAAAAGTTTTTATGGAAAAATAGATGAAGAAGAATGCAATATCATAAACAAGTGCTCGATTATTAAACCGCTTCATGTGTTTAAACAGCGTGTTTATTAGTCGTAAGTACAATGTCAATATTTAATGTAAATCAAGGTAGCTTCTAACACGTTGTTTTTCACTTCTTGTAGACTTTGCCATCCGCATTTTGATACTGAAGAGGACGCAAGCACCTTTTACTATTATTACAAACTCAAGCAAAAAAATGTTTGTAACAAGCTTCAAATGATTGTGTGCCCTGCGTGAGAGCAGGGCAAAGACGTTCAATATGTAAGTAACAAGTATCTCAAGTTTGTAAACAAAGCTGTTGTCTTCTGTACAGAGAAGAGTCGATGAAGAAAAGCCGTTGTGGTGTTACTGACTCTTGGCTCTTTCCTCCCTCTATTCAGAGGGGGAAAGAAAGATAGAAGGTTTACATATTGAAATCAACAATGACAAGGCTGTCGTGGTGGCCAAAAGAAGAAGGTTGGTTTCTTTAAATGAAGCACATGGTGCTTAACTTGTTCTCCTTTACGTGGTTATTTTCTTATTGTTTTTT